CAAATTAATGACACTGTGCTATTGTGTAAGTAGCATGAGCCAATCTTTGCTTATTGATATGTTGCCCTGTTTATTTGGTCAATTTTTAGTTCAAATTCACACTATTTTCAACTGGGCCTTCCCAATGACTTGCTAAAGTTGACACCTACCAGTTTCTGGACACGATTTCGCCACAACATGGTATCTTTCTTTACATTTCTTCCAGAAGTCGTCATCCCTGACCCATGTTGGAGCCACCTGTCTACAACACACAGGTTTAGGCCATGCTTTGATTTCAATACTAGGGACTAGATCGATGTCGATGTCTGGCAGACCGGCCCCTGGGTTGTACAATATTGTATAGGCGGGACTATCCATATCCTTCTTCTTCCCTAAAGTGCAGAACATTTTGATCATATATATCAAATATAAAACTCTAATATATAAAGTGAAGAACATTTTGATCACATATATCAAATATAAAACTCTTACATATAAAGTGCAGAACATTTTGATAACATATATCAAATATAAAACTCGAATATATATAAAGTGCAGAACATTTTGATCACATATATCAAATATAAAACTCTAATACACATATCAAAACATATATCAATTTAGGTAAAGGCCTGCTGTTTAGAGCATGAAAAAGGAAAGAATATATATCTATATTCATTTGTTACATGGAGCAGTGAGACAGATTTTCAACATGGTAGCTTTTATTTGTTTTAAATTACTAGTTATGGATCGCCTATTTTCGTAAATTTTATAGACTACCTATAAACATATTTAAAAATAATTATAAAGAATCCTTTCCTTCATGGGATGATCTTCAACACACAGAGAAAGTTTCAAGAAGTCACGAAAAACACCAGTTCCTGGACTTACATTATGGTCCCCAAATCTCTTACTTTTTACGTTCCTACGTGTGGCTGCATCACCAAATAGTTTGAACGCCATGTCTTTGAACTTTACAGGATCCAGGTAACCTCCTGTCATCAGTTCACTTCGATTCGTTCTTGTAAGACCAATTTTGCAAAATCCTTTCGGCATAGCCTTGTCCCATTTCATATAAGCATCAAGATTCATAGGCGAAATCATGAAATCGAATTCGTCGGGGCTCATATTCTAAAACGAAGAACAAACAAGATGTAACCTGTTAATGAACGGATTAAGTATATAGATTGATACTTAAATAAATGCGTTGTTGCTGTCATGTATTACTAGCATATATGTATAACTATAATAATATATTATCATGGTCCAATTTCGTTTTCGTGTTTTTGTTACATGCTTATGAGAAAATGATGTGGCTTTTTGAATCGGTTATTACATTGTATCGATAATAACATTGTATCGATTATTACAAATGTATATAAATTAAATATACATATTTACAAGAATGATAAAATACCTGTATGTTCAATTGATAATAACATTTTCCCACAATTGTTTTGGTATCTAAATAGCTTTCCAAGTGACCAAGCGCCATCAAGTGTATTCAAGGGACGGTATTATTTTTAAAATAGTGTAAAAATGTGAAAAAAGATAAATAAGCAGTTGTCTATATTTGTCGATGTTTATGATACGCAAATATTTTTTTCTAGCCTTCAACATTTAACAAAGGGTAATCCTGAAAGGATGTTTTTTCTCCTGCCAGTCAATATTGTTTATTTCGGTGTATTACATATACATGACGTTAATACACTTTTAAAGCACACAAATACATTGTTATAAACGCAAATAGATACACAGCAGGGATCATGCGATGAAAATGATAATTTTGATATAGTTTGATACAAAATAATATACATTATTGTACATGTATTACTAACCTTTGTTTTATCATAGTATGATCCGGATGTAAGAATATCCCACCGGAAACCACCACCATTATCATTTAATTTTTTCCTGACACCACGGTCGCCTTCAATAAAGTCCCTCACGATACCAGCAGCAATGTTGATGTCGATAAGACGCAGTTGTGCGCCCTCCATACGCTGCGATAAATACCCCCCAGGATTATTGAGGCGGGGAGCTGGCGAAGATACTTTTGTCTGGAATTACATGGCAACACATAATAAACAACATTTATATAGCGCCCTATATAATTTGTAAAATTACACTAAAACGCTTTACAACATATGGATAATAGCAATGGTTAAAATTGTGAAAACAAAAAATAAATGCTTACAATCACTTTTATCCATTTAAGCAAGCAATGTGCAAGGGTGGTATTTACATGACGTCTTTGCAAATATTCTAAAATGCAGACGTGAAGTGGTGAGTTTTGATGTCCCTCTTGAACTTGGCCAGGGTATTTGACTTTCTAATAGCAGATGGTAAGCTATTCAACAACGTAGCCGAAACCCTCCCAAATCATCTTTTTCGTAGGTCACAGTACGATATTTTGGGACACACAACAAAGATGCTGACTCCGACCGCAGTGATCGTGACGGCTAATACAGGGTAACAAGCTCGTATAGGTACTGAGGAGCTGTTCGATTCAGTGCCTTGTATGTGTACACCAGATTTTTGTACTGCGACCTGTATCGTACAGGTAATCAATGCAACGAATAAAGCACAGGTGTGATGTGTTCTCTCTTTCTAGTACGAGTAACTAGCCGTGCTGCAGTGTTCTGAACCCTCTGCGTTACCATTATCCAGCCGAGAGGTAACAAGTGAATACACCAAGTTTTTGCATGCATCTGCAGTTAATAACTGCCGAATAAAGCCGATGTTCCTGATCTGGTAGTAACAGGATTTAGCGTTCAATAGCGTCAATAGCGTTCACCTGTTTCTCCATGTTCAGTGAACTATCAAAGTATACCCCTAGGTTTTTAACAGCTGGAACAGTCTCAATATTTCTGGCATCGACCTTGAGCTGGAGAGCCATTGTTTGCTGACACTTTGGGGAAAAGACTATTAGTTCCGTCTGTTCCTGCTTAAGCTTAAGTATGTTGGCGTGCATCCAGATACTGATATCTGTCAGACAAGCTTCCAGACTTTCTGAGTGTCATGTGGTTTGATGACCATGTACATTTGTATGTCATCGGCATAGCAATGATAGCGAAGGCTATGGCGACGACAAATCTCTCCAATCGGTTTGGAGTACATACAATATTCTCGTGGTCCTAACACCAACTCTTGAGGAACCCCGAAATCTAGTACTTTGTCATGTGAGGTGGAAGATCCGATGGCAACACACTATCGTCGTTCACTCAGGAAAGACTGTATTCCGCATAGTGCGGTTTCAGTCACTCCATAAGAGTATTCCAGACGTTTATAAAGTATGCCATGGTCGATGACGTTAAAAGCAGCTGACAAGTCCAGCATGACAAGCACTGCTCTGCACTTGTTATCCAATACAGAAGCTATATCATTATGTACACATAGGAGGGCCATCGCAGTAGAGTGTCCCATGCGGTAGGCCGATTGCATGTTGTCATGGAGACTGTTTGCATGGAGATGAACACATTACGTTTTATGTAAACTCGCATCAAAATATAAATATCCCCGTACTATTGCCAAGGCTGAAACTATGAATTGGAAACTGTTTTTCTTTTCTTGCATGATTATTTCTTTGATAAATCATTTCTGAAAGAAAAATAACATTACCTTGCTGGACTTTAATGGAGACAAAAAAGATAAATTTGAGTGAAAAACTAAATTAGCGGGGTTATACTCTAAATCAGGATTCGAGCCCTTGAACTCAGAACGTTACGTTAACGCTCTAACTAAATTAACTGCCTTGGTTGACTGAAGTGCTTTGACCCAATCACGTGACATTTATATCCAAAGCGAAATGAACGGAGGTTACGTAATAAAACAGATTATAATAATTTAGCGTTTCGCCAGCAGTGGGATATGGAACCTTAAGTTTTATTAACATTAATATTTCACATGTGCTCTGTCGTTAGTGTTTTGTGATGTCTGTTCACATTACTGCTATAATTACGAATGTTCTATTTTAAATTTTGATATATTGGCAGAGGTATTTGGAGAAATATATTTATGAACTATCATTTAATGTTGATAAAACAGTGATCTTTTCATCTGCTATATATTTGATATACTTTTACACTCACCCATGCAGGAATGAAGGGATGAATACAAAAGTCAAGTTTAACATGTCTTGAGACTAACCTTTGCTAATCATCATAATCAAAATAATCTAACACGTTCCTGAACGAATGACAGATCGTTGTTTGTTCTGCATAAATGCGATCCATGCTGATACAAACTGTCATACTTACTTGCTGATCATCATTGCTGATTATGTGAGGGTTTATGTAGGATACCGACGACGGGGTTGCCTCACAAAGTGATCCTGATGCCGTTGGACTCTCATTCTTCACCTTTATGCAGTTTTCTTTCATCACTTCTTTACATGGTATTGCTGCCTGCTTTACGATCTGGAAATATACAAGAATGTATCATAGATAATACTATTGAAGGGGGGCATGGTTTGACATTCATACAGGAACTAATTGATTCTTGTATGATCGATTTTAACTTTGATGCTCCGACTTGTACCATTACTAGTCCGAATTATTCTGACGTTTTATCGACTTTTTATTTATTAAATCGGTCTGTCGTCGGTTAACGTCAGAACTCCGGCCCTCTATAATATGCGGGAAATAAGCGACCCGCGCCAGGGTTGCTCTTCAAACTGATATTTTATAAACAAATCGTCATTTTCACACACATGTCGCACATGGATCGAAAGATCTATTCTTTTTGCACTGGGTGGTATCAATACCATGTTTCAAATATCATTACCAACAGTATTTTCCAACGTTTTCTATTCCAACCCATTTTTTAATGAAATCAGGGCATGAGCCATGTCACATGAATTGACGAGATCTCGCGTTACCGAAGGTATTTTCCAACGTTTTCTATTCCAACCCATTTTTTTAATGAAATCAGGGCATGAGCCATGTCACATGACTTGACGAGATCTCGCGTTACCGAAGGTATTTCCCAACGTTATGACGTAGGCCGTCGAGATTTTAGTCACGTGGCATTAGAAGGGGAGGGCTATCAAAAACGTAAAGTAAAACAGAGTAAGTTTGAAAAACAAATGTTTTTAGTGTATTGTATTGTATCGGTTGTTTGAGGTTTGTTATGTATGTTCATCTTGTGCATAAAGAAAAGATCTTTCGATCGTTGTGCGACATGTGTGCGGAAGTGACGATTTGTTTCTAAAATATCAGTTTGAAGAGCGACCCTAGCGCGGGTCGCTTATTTCCCGCATATTATAGAGGGCCGGAGTTCTGACGTTAATCGACGACAGACCGATATAAAAAAAGTCGATAAAACGTCAGAATAATTCGGACTATACCATTACATGCAAAGTTGAAGGACTGTATGTCATGATTCCTGATCTAATTTATCCCAAGAATAGTAGTTCAAACGTATCATTGCATCGTATGATGTGGCATTCGGAATGTTTCTCACCAGTAAGCATAGATGTATCTACATTATTTGGTTGAGCATCCTTTTAATCAAGTTGCAGTTATTTAAATGTTCAAGACATGGGGTTTATTGCGTTTCGTTGGGAAACTTTCGGATATTCGACAATCAATCATCTCTAGTTTTGTTTTTCTTTCCCTAAAACGTTACTAAAACATTAGGGAAGCGTATTCAAACCCTAATTGAGTTTCGAATGCGGGAATACCTATACATAATTACGACGTCAAAATAACCACCAAACGTAAAGCTAGGTGACATTGCCACTATGTCAACATGTAAATGATGTTCTTCAGCGATTTGTGATCCCTCTATCAAACAAATTAAAGTTGTATACCTCTTTTCCATGGACTCTAGTCTTGTGTCCTTTCATACTGGCTGCAGTCGCAAAGTTATTCTGCCCACAAACGTTGCATGTAAATTCACAAACGGAATTTACTTCTTGACCTTGTGGTACTTTGTCATTGCTGTGCATTTCAGTCTTGTGGCCTTTCATCCTAGCTTCAGATTTAAAACCGGTCTTCCCACATATCTCACATGTGAATTTGCCCTCGGGTATTACTCCTGGAGCTGGGAATCCTTTGTCATTGCTGTGAAATTTTATCTTGTGGCCTTTCATACTTGCTTCAGACTTGAAATCGTTCTTCCCACATATCTCACATGTGAATTTGTCCTCGGGTATTTCTCTTTCTTGAGCTTGGAAACCTTTGTCTTTGCTGTGCATTTTGGTTTTGTGGCCTCTCATACTGGATTCAGACTTGAAATCGTTCTTCCCACATACATCACATGTGAATTTGCCATCGGGTATTTCTCCTCCTTGAGATGGAATTCCTTTGTCATTGCTGTGCATTTTCGTTTTGTGGCCTTTCATACTGGATTCAGACTTGAAATCGTTCTTCCCACAGATCTCACATGTGAATTTGCCCTCGGGTATTCCTCCATGAGCTGGGAATCCTTTGTCATTGCTGTGAAATTTTATCTTGTGGCCTTTCATACTGGCTTCAGACTTAAAATCGTTCTTCCCACATATCTCACATGTGAATTTGTCCTCGGGTATTTCTCTTTCTTGAGCTTGGAAACCTTTGTCTTTGCTGTGCATTTTAGTTTTGTGGCCTTTCATACTGGATTCAGACTTGAAATCGTTCTTCCCACATATCTCACATGTGAATTTGCCCTCGGGTATTCCTCCATGAGCTGGGAATTCTTTGTTTTTGCTGTGCATTTTAGTCTTGTGGCCTTTCATTCCGGCTTCAGATTTAAAATCGTTCTGCCCACATACATCACATCTAAATGGCATATTGACTGCATCTGCAAATATATATATTAACATTAACTTTAACCACTTTTGACCAAACAAAGTTGTAAATTTGATCGTGACCATCAAAACATAGGCAATACCATATTACAGTTATATTTGTCCTGCAAAGTTACTAGGCTGACTAAGTAAATTTCGTTTTGGGTCATCAGACCATGAACCGAAATGAGTAGCAATACAAACGGAAGTCACGTTTTACTCTCGTTTGGAGTTTTTGGAAGAGAAGTTATACATTCCACCCTGACACCAAAGCAAAAGTAATTATTTTTATTTAAATTACTTAACTCTCTTATGTGAAAATAAAACGATATTTTCAAAAACGATGAATCTTGTCTTCGGCCACACCACATGTCAAACTGTCAGTTCAGAAACAAGCCCTCACAAGCTCACTGTCCAGCACGTTCGTTTCCCCGTTTCGTTTAAAATAAAATGTCGCTATCAGTGTAACTTGAGGGGAGAAAAAATATCTCAATATTCAAAAGGTTCGTTAACAAAAGACGTCAGTAATAATAATGAAAAATGATATTGTTATGCATTAAATGTTCTTCTATTTTTCTTACAATACAAAATATAACAAAATGTGAACAAACAAATCATACATTTTTTACGGTTGTTGGGCTCATCGACTTTAATGCACGTGTTTCGGACTGATCCACAAGTCAAACATTCCCGTGCAACTAGGTAGGATTTAAAAACAAATATGAAAGAAAGATGTGAAAGAGTAAATTTAAGCATTAAACTGCTTTTAGATGAGGTAAATAGGCATTACGTATGTCCTATTAGGAAAATTAGTCATCAATAATGCGGTGCGTGTCATTTTCCTGTTATGCAATTTGCATTTTATGGCATTTTATGCCAAAACAGGAAAATAGTTGCTAATCCTTTTTAAGGAGTATTCATAGAAAAAGTAAAAGTCATTTTATAAAAAGAAAAAAGAAAAAAACCACATCATTTAATTTGGAGCATTAATGAACCAAAGAAATTAAATATTATATACAATAAATTGAAATTGTACCTTCATAATATGCAAAAATCTGATACAAAAAAAACACCTGTTTGACCTGTAGTTTTAATAACTGGAGGGTTACCATGGTTGATAAAATCAATGAATACGACTCGCTTTCAATATATAACAATGGACAAATAACCTTAAGACCAACAAGTCCTAAAATAATATCTTATTTGAGTAAAGCCAATCTTTGTGAAGATAAATGAATAAAAAGGGGTTGGAATATTAAACTAACTTTTTCAATCAGTTCTAGAGCAAGGATTAATATTTTTTTATCATGCTCGAATGACGGGATTTACAATTTGTTCCAATAAATGGCCTTGACCTACTTTCAAGGTTTCAGTAATCTATTTTTTGTAATCCTCAAACATTTTCTTACGATCGAAAGTTCTTTTTACATGAACATTTGTATGTATCTCGCCAGCTGATAGTAAATATCCTTTATTCCTAGAATAACGATATTTATCATGCAGCTTGCTTGAATAACATACAGTTAGCTTAATGCAAGCAATCGACATTGGACGTGAGAAAAAAGTTCGCCTTTCAACATAGGTCCTTAACGTGTAGAGAATGATAGTGAGCTTGCAATTTAAATCAAATTAAACTTCATAAAGTTTAAAAGTCACCGTTTTTTATGTGTTTTCCAATGCCATTCAAAAGCAGGTATTTAATTGGAATTTAGTCAAAGTATTCGTTTTCATCAATAACAAGGACAAAATGTATATAATTTTGCATTACGATTCACGTTTCTGCTATTGGAAATAAAAATATTTTATTTGATCTTTCTGACGGATGGTTGATATACATTGAATTAAAACAATAACCTCTCATTATACGTGTACTATGATAAGTTTATATTTCGGTATTAATGGCATGACCCAAAAACATCTGTAAATTTGTAGTACAGATACTTTTGCATTGTGATATCGGAGCTGAAATCCTAATGATTGCTAATGAGGCACTCATTATACCAAGGATTTCAACTACGTTGTTGTGGTGTATGCCTCTCAGTTTCGGGTTTCATTGTGTCGTTTGGTTCTTTTTAGTGTTGTTCTAAAACATTACGGAATGTGGCTTAGCAAGATGTTGACACTTCACAATACAGACGTTATTAGTTGGCACTATTGGATTCAATTGCCGCAATATGATCCATTATTTCTATTCTGTTATTATTCGGACATATTCTTTTAACATCGTTTCTTAATGCTGTTACTATCTGACTGTTACAAGCTTAACTTAACTCGACATTCATACCAACATTTATTAATTCGTTATCACTTATTATCTGCGTTTATGTTTGAAAATGTTGCTTGCAATAAATCACGACAAGTTCCGTTTAAGTAATTTGAGGTTTTAACATTGAGTGATCAGTGTCTTTCAAAGTGTGTAAGTTGCACATGCTTGAACGCTATGTCAGCGTCAACTCTGGATGATATTTATAAAATGGTCTGAACCTTATAACGAACCTGTCACCTTATATTGTGACTACCCCTGGATGTTGTTATAGTGGCTAGATCTACAAGTATTTACGTCAGCATTGTTCCTCCAGCCCAGTCCGACTATATATCCGAGATATAAAGGAGGCTACTGTTTGGATGAAAATCTCAGCTCTGTAGTTTCTCGTCTGCAGTGGGACAAACATCCATAAGTTTAATTGATGGCACCTTTTTATAACAAATGTTTGACACCGTCTTATCTAATCACACAGTTGGGCTGTACACTCCTGTGAATTGGTATCCAAAGAAATAATAAATGATCACCGGCATTCTTCAATGTTGCTGGTGTCCTATAACATTTCCATTCCCATTTATACTTCTCCGGATAAATATTTCATGCACAAAATATTAATCCCTTTCCAGAAAATATTCATCGTCTAACTTTTACTAAAACACTTTGCATGAATACAAAATGTATATCATTGTAACATCATATCACCTGCAATGTCTTGGTAATGTACAGGGTGCACACACCGGTTAGCATGGGACATGAGCTCTGGTGGCTAATCGCGATCGATGCAGGTAAGAACTAGGTGACAGGTGACCAGCCCACAGTTGTGGTCTTTACCCAGGATAATATACAGCCTCATAATTATTATAGAAGTGATATGTATGGCGATTAAAACAAATAGATACTTATACTGAAGTTTTAAAACCATTCAAATCCGTATTTTTTATTAAACAAAGAAGGTGAGAATAATGTGATTGACATTGGTACCTGTACTACTATGCTGTATTTATGTGTATTCTGAAAAGAAGTGTTATGACATATTTTTTTTTTTTTTTCTTGATATAACAGTTAATTTCTGACACTACAATATATCGACCTATTCCAAACAAAGACAAAGATAAAGATAACAGCTGTAATAAGCAGTAACATTACGAATGTAAAGTGAAAAAGCGAGAATACATGAACTACAATTATACAATTGACTAAAATACTTGTATACTTTATTTTAAATGCTGTATTTGGAAAAGAAAGGGTATTTTGTAATTTCTTGATATTACGGTACGGTACATGTGTGTATTGTATGTTATATCACCAAACGTTCAAGTCCTAGACCTGGCAAAGTAATGACATAGCTGTATCCATGTATTTCATCTTATTTCGTGTATAAGCTGCTATGTTACGGTCCAGTGATTTTGTCAGCTTCCTTATCAATGTTATGTTTTTGCTCTGTTCTCAAAAAATAAGAGTGCAGATTAAATCAAATAAGATTTCTTCGGATGCTGAATATTACCTAGATTACTTGGTTCAGTGCCCTCTTCATATGTTATGGGTTTTTTTTGTTAAGGTTAAGCTATGTTGTTTTGTTAAGGTTAAGCTATGTTGTTTTGTTAAGGTTAAGCTATGTTTTTTTGTTAAGGTTAAGCTATGTTTTTTTTGTTAAGGTTAAGCTATGTTGTTTTGTTAAGGTTAAGCTATGTTGTTTTGTTAAGGTTAAGCTATGGTTTTTTTGCAGAAACTGCACGTTTTACACCAATTAAATATTGGAGATAGATTTTTTATCTGCAGTGCAACTCAATACTCAGTATGCTTCTTGTTAGAAATGTTTTATAGTTAAGTTATAAGCACAAATATTGTCACATATTGAAAATGTTTTGTATAAAAGTTTTCCTTGAAATTTTATGTATATTATCAAATGATACAGCAATAAAGATAAATTTTGTTATATTGCTAAGAAATAATTATTTTATAAACAAATACATGTTATCGAATGACACATCAGCATCAAAATCACTACAAAATGGATACAAAATATCTTTAGTTTTCATTTTTATCAAAAGTCTTTAAATCTAATGTGATATCTTATTGAACATTATCAGCTTCCAGCTACAGAACCTTGCTTACCAGCAGAACAGTTAACCACGGGTGAAAACACAGGTGAAGTACAGTTAAATATTGCCAATACTATATTCCTTCTAACAACATTCTTCTCCCAATGTTTTTGAAATTAATAAGAAGATACGTAGTACTTTGTATTAGATATTGTAGATTAATTAATTACTTGGGAATATTGATGAGTTTTAATGTTAAGTTAAAAAAACAATTAACAAAAAATTGCTAATCAGGGAAGAAAAGCATTGTTTTCAGTATCAAACGTGTCTAAGAAAGGAATAGTTTAACATTGAAGCTCAACTTGATGTTTTCGATACAGATGTCTGTAGAATTTTTAATTATTGGGCAGAAGTTTGGAGCTTTCATAAAGCACCAGATATAGAGAAAATACATTTAAGTGTTTGTAGAAGATTATTAAAGAATTATTAAGATTGTCTTTAGAAATAATTAGGAGGTTTAGAACTTATAAATGTTGGTTAAAATTAAAACAAATTGACAAACTGATGAATGGAGTAAGAAATAAACTATTTAGAATGGGAGTAGGGTGCATATGGCAATAAATATAGAGATACCCATACATCCGATTATATTATCGATATGATTAAAAATTAGAATGTGTGATACATTTAAGCAAGAATGTAAAGAAAAACTAGTTTCATCTTCCAAGTGTTCACTGTACAAGTTTATTGGCGAAAAAGTCTGTTTACAACCATATTTAACAAAACCAATAGGAAATACAAATCTGAAAGAAGTTACAAACATTAGACTGTCATCTGACAAATCAAATATTTCAATTAGTAGGTATAACAATTTAGGTAGGATTGAAAAAACATGTGCATACTGCAACTGTGGGGATATCGAAGATGCATTTCATTCTATATCAAAATGTGAATGTTTTGTAGATTTAAGAAAGCGTCTTATTAAGAAATATTACTATAATAGATCTAGCATGTATAAATGTATCCAACTTAGGGAAACAGTGAACAAAAAGCAGTTAACAAATTAGGCCAAATATATTAAGCTGAGTAATAAGAAAAGAAAAGACTATGTACCAATAAAACGAGAAATGTCTCTATACACTATACCAATTAATGCGCCTGTGTGTGTATGTTGGGTGTGTATATGTGTTGAGTGTGTATGTGAGTGTATCTCGATGTGGGTGGGTGGGTGTGCGTGTAAGGGTATGTCAGATAATGATTGTTTTGTTTATCCTTGTATAAATGTATATGTATATTTTGAACCGATGAGCCGTAAGGTTCAAGGTAATAAAGAACTGAACTGAATTGTTTAAGTGGGTTGTGTAAGGTCAGTGGTCCGTGCTAGACACAGGGCACACGTGTTACAGTTAAGAGGGTTTATTCACATACCTGACCAATTTTACTAGGTCATACGGCCATGTCATAATTATGGTATTACACATGTGTAATAAAACCTAAATGTGCTGCAGCAGGTCAAAACCTTTGGGAAATATTCCTACGTCACTACTTTTATCCACTATACATGTGCCACGTGATACATTTACTGTTATTTTAAATTAATTTGATATATATCGTTTTATCAATATTATTTTTATTGCATTTAAAACTGTTCATTACTAAAATAATCTGGAACTTCTTTGCAATGGGCGGTACGACAATACTATGATCGGAGTACATGTACTTTGGTTCAGACTTATATCGAGTCAGCTGATAGCACGTAATTGTGTTTGAAATTGTTGTTTTTTTTTCAAATTATTAATGTAACGTGATAATATCATCTTACATTAGTGTCCATGTCATATTGAATTTATCAAACTCGTTTAACAAAACAAAGAAATAACTAGGGGAATAAGCCTGCCATCAAGCAGCATGCCGAATTCACGACTAGTACGTGTATGATGGGGTGAACCCAAATAAGTTGGATGGTGTTTTTTTTTAATCGAGTGACTAAAAACTGCATATAACTATCGTTTACCTGATACACATAAACAATTACATCACACTGTACATTTAATCATTATCTTTGTATTAAGTTTAGGTTATCACCGATTATGAGTAATTTACCCGAGTGCCATTGTAGTTATCACCCAATAACCTAGACTAAATAGAAAGTTAATCCTTATATTTATAGTATCTTTCTTTAATATTACATAAACGCGTTCTTTTAACCGGAATATATCCCGCGGGAGGATAACAATCATTCCAGTCAAGCTTCGAAGGCCACCGTGACATGAGACGACCAAACTATGACTTAATAAAATTACACTGTACATTACTAGTTCGAACAAGATCTTGGTTTGATATAGAAATGAAATACTTCAGTTTAGTAGGATACTTACCCACTTAGCTCAACTGTAAATCACCAGACAATCTGTATCGATCCTGGATACGTATAAAGCAGGACTAAACATGTACAAGCGTTATCTGGTATGGCTGTCACAGCGTGCTGTGTAAATAATGTAGAGACGCGTATACGTATGTGTAGGTGGGGTTTTACCCACGTGATCTCAACCTTTCTCGGAATACTTCTTTTTCTTATAATCGAAAGCGAAAGCAGAATAGAAATGGAAATAAACAAATCTGTATGACAGGAAGCTAAACTTCCATCATATGGTATAGTGCGTTATGGAGTTCGACGTGTTGAAATGTACAGGTACACTACATTGTAAATACCGAAAGTTATGAAACGTGTACCCAAATTAAAATGGATAAGTAATACATGTATAAAACTAAGTGTATTTTCAATATAACCAAATACAACGTACCTCATTAGCAATTATGTGTGTTGCGATGTTGGAATGTCTCGGTGTCCAATATTTGAATGGGAAAATGCTTCAAGAGGTTAAGAGATCGATCGGTAAGAAATGATTTTAACTCCATTTTATAACATGACTACGCTGATTCAATGAATATGCCCACGGATATATTATAAGAACTAATTATAATTGGTGTGCTGAATGACGTTTTCCCTGATAATGGTAGATGACTGTTCACTTCGATTGAAAAGACTGTCCGGTAGGATCCGACAATGTAGTATATTACACTAGAACTTATTGTATAAAAGTGCACTGCTGATGTTTATACATCATCCTATCTTGTTAATGTATAGTCGATTCTAACGTGCTAAGTCTTCGCCCCGAAGACACATCTACTTACAACCCATGCAGGTTCAGGTATCCCCTCGCCAAGCATTCACCTAGTATTTGAAACAAGGGTTGGTCACAGGCACCAAATGTAATAGGAGCAGAAAAAAATGCGCGGCCAGACCGGGGTTCGAAACCGGGACCTTTCGAACTCTAGACGGACATCCTTCCAATTGAGCTATCCGGGTCTGTTAGTTTATGCGGAACAACCGATTTGTAACATTTTCGGGTATAAATCCTGGCGGACCTGCAAATGTTAATGCAGGCCTTGTAAGACTTTGTCAGGGCTCGCCTAAAAGCAGCATCAAATTACTGGGTCCGACCTTATTTGACAAACGGAGGAACAATTGTACATTTGTTTGGATTGCGATAAACGAAAACGGCCCTGCAAGTTCCACTACACGTGTATTACATTGTCATAGATGGGTTTTTTTTATAATGTTTGTAATTGAACAATGTATCGTACTGTATGATTATAGTGCAATTACATGTAATACAATGTAGAGCCCGTGTTAGAACTTTGTATCATTCTGTAATGTCTACTCTCCAATGTCCTATGTGTGTGAAAGCACAAGGAAATAAAATCAAAGTACTGAAAGTACTCCAGACACATGCTGTAATATATATATATATATATATAACATTTTAGGAAAAACGAACACAATACAGTCAGTTGAGATGCAGGATAAACACCATTTAAATTTGCTGAAAATGATGTCAACTGATTTTGACCCTTATCTAATGTCTGCTTGCCAACAGAGATATTATAACCACCCACACGTGATATACTTGCCAACAGAGATATTATAACCACCCACACGTGATATACTTGCCAACAGAGATATTATAACCACCCACACGTGATATACTTGCCAACAGAGATATTATAACCACCCACACGTGATATACTTGCCAACAGAGATATTATAACCACCCACACGTGATATACTTGCCAACAGAGATATTATAACCACCCACACGTGATATACTTGCCAACAGAGATATTATAACCACCCACACGTGATATACTTGCCAACAGAGATATTATAACCACCCACACGTGATATACTTGCCAACAGAGATATTATAACCACCCACACGTGATATACTTGCCAACAGAGATATTATAACCACCCACACGTGATATACTTGCCAACAGAGATATTATAACCACCCACACGTGATATACTTGCCAACAGAGATATTATAACCACCCACACGTGATATACTTGCCAACAGAGATATTATAACCACCCACACGTGATATACTTGCCAACAGAGATATTATAACCACCCACACGTGATATACTTGCCAACAGAGATATTATAACCACCCACACGTGATATACTTGCCAACAGAGATATTATAACCACCCACACGTGATATACTTGCCAACAGAGATATTATAACCACCCACACGTGATATACTTGCCAACAGAGATATTATAACCACCCACACGTGATATACTTGCCAACAGAGATATTATAACCACCCACACGTGATATACTTGCCAACAGAGATATTATAACCACCCACACGTGATATACTTGCCAACAGAGATATTATAACCACCCACACGTGATATACTTGCCAACAGAGATATTATAACCACCCACACGTGATATACTTGCCAACAGAGATATTATAACCACCCACACGTGATATACTTGCCAACAGAGATATTATAACCACCCACACGTGATATACTTGCCAACAGAGATATTATAACCACCCACACGTGATATACTTGCCAACAGAGATATTATAACCACCCACACGTGATATACTTGCCAACAGAGATATTATAACCACCCACACGTGATATACTTGCCAACAGAGATATTATAACCACCCACACGTGATATACTTGCCAACAGAGATATTATAACCACCCACACGTGATATACTTGCCAACAGAGATATTATAACCACCCACACGTGATATACTTGCCAACAGAGATATTATAACCACCCACACGTGATATACTTGCCAACAGAGATATTATAACCACCCACACGTGATATACTTGCCAACAGAGATATTATAACCACCCACACGTGATATACTTGCCAACAGAGATATTATAACCACCCACACGTGATATACTTGCCAACAGAGATATTATAACCACCCACACGTGATATACTTGCCAACAGAGATATTATAACCACCCACACGTGATATACTTGCCAACAGAGATATTATAACCACCCACACGTGATATACTTGCCAACAGAGATATTATAACCACCCACACGTGATATACTTGCCAACTGAGATAGTATAACCACCCACACATGATTTACTTGCCAACAGAGATATTATAACCACCCACACGTGATATACTTGCCAACTGACATATTAAAACCACCCACACGTGATATACTTGCCAACTGAGATAGTATAACCACCCACACATGATTTACTTGCCAACAGAGATATAATAACCACCCACACGTGATATACTTGCCAACTGACATATTAAAACCACCCACACGTGATATACTTGCCAACTGAAATAGTATAACCACTCACATGTGATATAATTGCCAACTGAGATTTTAAAACCACCCCCACGTGATATACTTGCCAACAGAGATAGTATAACCAACCACACATGATATACATGCCAACTGATATATTATAACCACCCACACGTGATAAACTTGCCAACTGATATATTATAACCACCCACATGTGATATACTTGCCAACTGAGATAGTATAACCACCCACACGTGATATACATGCCAACTGATATATTATAACCACCCACATGTGATATAATTGCCAACTGACATATTATAACCACCCACACGTGATATACTTGCCAACTGAAATAGTATAACCACCCACACGTGATATACATGCCAACTGATATATTATAACCACCCACACATGATATACATGCCAACTGAGATATTATAACCACCCCCACGTGATATACTTGCCAACTGAAATAGTATAACCAGTCACACGTGATATACTTGACAACTGAGATATTATAACCACTCACATGTGATATAATTTCCAACTGAGATTTTATAACCACCCCCACGTGATATACTTGCCAACAGAGATAGTATAACCACCCACACGTGATATACTTGACAACTGAGATAGTATAACCACCCACACGTGAAATAGCGATAACAAACTTTCACTATCAAAATCCAAGATGGCTGCCTGTCGGCCATGTTGTTTATATGATCAGTCTCAAAAGTTGCCCTGCACAGCTTAGGACCAAGGGGAACCTGCATATAAAATTTGAGAAAGATCCCTCTGGTACTTCTTGAGAAATACCGATAACAAGAATTGTTTACAGACGGACGACGGACAACGGACGGACGACGGACCACGGACGCAGGGTGATTTGAATAGCCCACCATCAGATGATGGTGGGCTAAAAATACAGGTGTTCCAAAAAAAAACACTTTAAATGTGAAGTGTACACAGTGTCATTGTAAACATTATCAAACTCTTCAGTCTTGAAGAAACAAAGACACAGATTAGATGACATGGCAGGATTTTATTAACATATCAACGTTTTAAAAAGCACTTTTTTGTTATCCAACATCAGTCCTTATTTTTCACAAAATTACGGTTTGTACTTTTTTGCTTGTATTTCTAAAAGGGAACTAAACATTTGTAAATAAGAGAATGCATAAGTTAATGTGTAAAAATAGATCTGAATTAAATGACAAATTCCTGTCGGCTCATTGGATCACATGTTTTTGTATTTGTCTGTGGCCTCAATCAGATGGTGACATATACCAGCTTCCTTTGTAGAATGACCCGCATCAGGTACCACGTGGAACTCAGCCTCAGGCCATCCCTGTTCCACAGAAAAGGAGGAGTCTAATTATACAGATGTACATGATAATGAATATTTCAATGTAACGCCTCTAATCGAAATCAATATCTGACATACATGTATCAATACATCAATCAACAAACTTACGCATCATATTTTACGCATAATTGTATTGATTAATGTATATGCTAATTGTATTCATTGCATAACTATGTACTGTAAAGCGCTTAAGAGTGGCTATGTTAGCTATAGATAGGGCGCTATATCAAATGCTGTATATTATTATCGTAAATGTTTTTATATAGGTGCTCAATCGTCATCTTTCTCTCTATATAATTTTATTTACCTACACACAAGGTAATATTCCAAATATATGATATGGTAATACCTGCTTTACCTGCTTAATTTGCCTATGAAGTAAACAGTCATATATCCAACCTTATATATTTCAATCTCTATAGTTGCAGTTTACCTGTTTCATTTCATTTCAGAATATTTTATTGTACTGATCTTATGTACAAAAGGAATTGGGCAACAGGCATAGCCTATATAAGCCCTCTCCTACAAAACATAACAGTATATGCATATCATATAAATGTTACTTTTACAGATGTTTCTTTAAGTATTAAAATAAGAGATTATTTGTACTTTGAATTTGATTTGACAATATATATTCCAAATATCACAATTGTTATAAAAGAGATTATTTTACAAAGTTATTTGAGAATCTAATAAAAACATCTAGTGTCTCTATTGAAATTCTGAACCGTCTCCACAATATCAATACTTACCTGTACTGGAATGTTAAGAGTCATATCGTCGAGACTATTGTAGTAAGAAGCCCCAAACAAACTATTTTGGGCAAAAGGGTAGGACATTTTAAAATTCTATATTCAGACACTTGTCTATAGCTCTAGGTGGCCATGTGATGTCAGGTGCTGAAAGACCTCGGCGAATTTGATACACACACATTATTACATACCTTATGAAGTAACCAGGCCGTTTCCATAGGACAAACTACATCATAGCGCCCTTGAATAATGGTTGCTGGAATATGTCGAATTTTCTCCACATTTTCAATTAGTTGAGCATCTGTCTTGAACCATCCTCCATGCACAAAGTAATGACTAGAATAGCCAAAAATAGTTTTTATGGAAAGAAAGCTGCTACATAAATAATGAGACATAAACAGTTGGTGATATCTCCCTAAAGGTACTCTACAAATACTCTCAGTTTACTTTATGTACAAATACCAAAACTTAATACCAAAACAGTATGTACAAATACCAAAACTGTATGTACAGTACAAATACCCAAACTGTATGTACAGTACAAATACCCAAACTGTATGTACAGTACAAATACCCAGACTGTATGTACAGTACAAATACCCAAACTGTATGTACAGTACAAATACCCAAACTTTATGTACAAATACCAAAACTGTATGTACAAATACCAAAACTGTATGTACAAATACCAAAACTTTATGCACAAATACCAAAACTGTATGTACAAATACCAAAACTTTATGTACAAATACCAAAACTTTATGCACAAATACCAAAACTTTATGCACAAATACCAAAACTTTATGTACCAATACGTATACATGTACCAAATACTTTATGTACAAATACCAAAACTTTATGTACCAATACATGTACCAAATACTTTATGTACAAATACCAATTAACATTCAACTGTTTCATTGTTATACCAATAGGGTGACAAGATAAGCAAATCAATTAGCCATGACCCTAAAAATTAGAAAAGGTGTAAAAAAGACTGTTTATCAATAAACACTTACCTCTCAATCCTGGCAAATTGCTGTGACCAGATGTCTCCGTCGGCTTTTTTCACCAAGTCCTCGTCGACCAGCAATCGAGACGTGGCCAGCTCCCATTTACTCCATGCCTTGGCCGCCTTGACACGTTTCTCCTCGTCCTCACTAGTCAGGTGTCTGTAGTACGCACCCATCAAGTCTCCCCTTTCTCCCTATATCCAGTTGAAAACTTACATAAAATATGCTAATGCCAAAAGAAATACTACAGGTCTATGGGGCCTGTATCACTAACCTAATGTATCTCTATCACAACTTGATGAGAAAGTTTAAATGTTTTAACCACTGATAACAGTGGAAGCCATCTCCAATTTGTTATTGACCCACACAATCACAATAACACTTATACCCATTTTAAATACAGATGAACCCTTTGACCTTGAATGAGGATCAAGGTGATTTATCTGGACAGTCTTACTAAAAGAACGCTACAGATCCAATGTCATGATTCAAGGTCACATGATTCATTAAAAGAAGTTGTTTAAAGACATTTGAACAATGTAACCTTGCATGTGGCTTAATTCAAAATTTTAAACAAAGTAATTTATTTAAGGCCTGAAATTCATTCACCAACACAAGCTACAGGCCAAATATCATGATCCTAGGCCTTTAAGTTCTTGAGAAGAAGTCATTTAAAACACTTAACTTACTATGAGAGATTAATTAAAGAAGTGCAAGCTTATATTACTTACCTCAGGTATAGGGGCCAAATAGTCCTCCCATTTGTCAGGAAACAGATGATTAGCCCCGTCCTGGTAAAACCAAAGTAACTCTCGTCTGAAATACAGGGCATTTCATCTTTTGAAATATTTGGATTACAAAATTCATGTGCACCCATAACAATGTAACTTTACTTACATCAAGTAACAACCTTTTTGATGTTCTCTCCGAAAATAGTCTTAATTATCCTGAACAATATGAATTAATTAAATTAATGAGAGAAAAAAGTAGTGAAAATACTACATGTGTTCTTTTCTAACATTGAAATCTCAATATACGACATAGATATATACATATCTATCCAATAATGTATCGATCCGATCTAAAAACAGGAACTTGTTTTAAGCCTTTTATAAAGAAAATAATTCTACAGGAGACAGAAGTACGACCAAATCACTTTTTCTGTCATAAATATATGCGAAGAAATATTTTCTTCAACTCAAAAACAATTACAATAATTTGTACAGACATTAGCATTACCTGCGCAAGGTGAAAATGCCTCTAAGGACAAGGGCCTTTACACGATCTGGATGTGTCTCAGCGTAAGCGATAGAAAGCGTTGACCCCCAGCTCCCCCCAAACACCACCCACTTGTCGATCCCCAGGTGTTTCCTCAGACGCTCTATATCTTCCACCAGGTCCCAGGTTGTATTTTCCTGTCAAAACATATTACGTAGTAGCTCAGGTAAAGAATACCAATCCAACATTTAACATCACAGGTAAAGGATACCATTCCAATAGTTATAATCACAGGTAAAGGATACCAATCCAACATTTAAAATCACAGGTAAAGGATACCACTACAATAGTTAAAATCACAGGTAAAGGATACCAATCCAACATTTAAAATCACAGATAAAGAATACCAATCCAACATTTAACATCACAGGTAAAGGATACCACTCCAATAGTTATAATCATAGCTAAAGGATACCAATCCAACATTTAAAATCACAGATAAAGGATACCAGTCCAATAGTTATAATCACAGGTAAAGGATACCTATCCGACAGTTACAATCACAGGTAAAGGATACCTATCCGACAGTTATAATCACAGGTAAAACAGACCACTCCAATAGTTATAATCACAGGTAAAGGATACCACTCCAACAGTTATAATCACAAGTAAAGGATACCTATCCAACAGTTATTATCACAAAAGTTCTTATTAGAGATCTTGTTTTAAATTGGAGTATACTTCCTGTAAATAAAGAGGTGAAGCATCAAGAGTAGACAGGATAGCCTGATACAATGCCTGTCCTTTCCTTCTCTACCCCTATAGCTCATAACTCTACATCCACCCCTTCTGTAACCCATCCCCCTATAGCTCATAACTCTACATCCCCACCTTCTCTACCCCTATCGCTAATAACTCTACATCCCCACCTTCTCTAACCTATCCCCTTATAGCTAATAACTCTACATCCCCACCTTCTCTACCCCTATCCCCCTATAGCTCATAACTCTACATCCCCACCTTCTCTAACCTATCCCCCCATAGCTCATAACTCTACATCCCCCCCTTCTCTAACATATCCCCTTATAGCTCATAACTCTACATCCCCACCTTCTCTACCCCATCCCCCTATATCTCATCACTTCTCTACCCCTATAGCTCATAACTCTACATCCCCACCTTCTCTAACATATCCCCTTATAGCTCATAACTCTACATTCCCACCTTCTCTAACCTATCCCCCTATAGCTCATAACTCTACATCCCCACCTTCTCTAACCTATTCCCTATAGCTCATAACTCTACATCCCCACATTTTCTACCCCTATAGCTCATAACTCTACATCCCCATCTTCTCTACCCCTATAGCTCATAACTCTACATCCCCACCTTCTCTACCCCTATAGCTCATAACTCTACATCCCCTCCTTCTCTAACCTATCCCCCTATAGCTCATAACTTTACATCCCCACCTTCTCTAACCTATCCTCCTATAGCTCATAACTCTACATCCCCACCTTCTCCAACCCTATCCCCCTATAGCTCATAACTCTACATCCCCTCCTTCTCTAACCTATCCCCCTATAGCTCATAACTCTACATCCCCATCTTCTCTACCCCTATCCCCCCATACCCCTAACCCTAACTCTATATCCCCTCCATCTCTAACCTATACATCCCCACCTTCTCTAACCTATCCCCCTATAGCTCATAACTCGAAATCCCCACCTTCTCTAACCTATCCCCCTATAGCTCATAACTCTACATCCCCACCTTCTCTACCCCTATCCCCCCATAACCCTAACCCTCACTCTACATCCCCCCCTTCTCTAACCTATCCCCCTATAGGTCATAACTCTACATCCCCACCTTCTCTAACCTATCCCCCTATAGCTCAGAACTCTACATCCCCACCTTCTCTACCCCTATCCCCCCATAACCCTAACCCTCACTCTACATCCCCACCTTCTCTAACCTATCCCCCTATAGCTCATAACTCTACATCCCCACCTTCTCTACCCCTATCCCCCCATAACCCTAACCCTAACTCTACATCCCCACCTTCTCTAACCTATCCCCCTATAGCTCANATAGCTCATAACTCTACATCTCCACCTTCTCTACCCCTATCCCACTTTAGCTCATAACTCTACATCCCCACCTTCTCTAACCTATCCCCCTATAGCTCATAACTCTACATCTCCACCTTCTCTACCCCTATCCCACTATAGCTCATAACTCTACATCCCCACCTTCTCTAACCTATCCCCCTATAGCTCATAACTCTACATCCCTACCTTCTCTAACCTATCCCTCTATAGCTCATAACTCTACATCCCCACCTTCTCTACCCCTATCCCCCTATAGCTCATAACTCTACATCCCCATCTTCTCTACCCCTATCCCCCCATAACCCTAACCCTAACTCTACATCCCCATCTTCTCCAACCTATCCCCCTATAGCTCATAACTCTACATCCCCACCTTCTCTAAACTATCCCCCTATAGCTCATAACTCTACATCTCCACCTTCTCTACCCCTATCCCCCCATAACCTTAACCCTAACTCTACATCCCCACCTTCTCTAACCTATCCTCCAATAGCTCATAACTTTACATCCCAACCTTCTCTAACCTATCACCCCATATCTCATAACTCTACATCCCCACCTTCTCTAACCTATCCCCGTATAGCTCATAACTCTACATCCCCACCTTCTCTACCCCTATCCCCCGATAACCCTAACCCTAACTCTATATCCCCACATGCTCTAACCTATCCCCCTATAGCTCATAACTCTACATCCCAACCTTCTCTAACCTATCACCCCATAGCACATAACTCTACATCCCCACCTTCTCCAACCTATCTCCCTATAGCTCATAACTCTACATCCCCACCTTCTCTAACCCTACAGCTCATAACTCTACATCCCCACCTTCTCTACCCCTATCCTCCTATAGCTCATAACTCTACATCCCCACGTTCTCTAACCTATCCCCTTATAGCTCATAACTTTACATCCCAACCTTCTCTAACCTATCACCCCATAGCTCATAACTCTCCATCCCCACCTTCTCTAACCTATCCCCCTAGAGCTCATAACTCTACATCCCCCCCTCCTCTAACCTATCCCCCTATAGCTCATAGCTCTACATCCCCACCTTCTCTAACCTTTCCCCCTATAGCTCATAACTCTACATCCAAACCTTCTCTAACCTATCACCCCATAGCTCATAATCTACATCCCCACCTTCTCTACCCCTATCCCCCCATAACCCTAACCCTAACTCTACATCCCCACCTTCTCTAACCCTCCAGCTCATACCTCTACATCCCCACCTCCTCTACCCCTATCCTCCTATAGCTCATAACTTTACATCCCAACCTTCTCTAACCTATCCTCCTATAGTTCATAACTCTACATCCACCCCTTCTCTAACCTATCCCCCCATAGCTCATTACCCCTATCCCCCACCTTCTCTACCCCTATAGCTCATAACTCTACATTCCCACCTTCTCTAACCTATCCCCCTATAGCTCATAACTCTACATCCAAACCTTCTCTAACCTATCACCCCATAGCTCATAACTCTACATCTCCACCTTCTCTACCCCTATCCCACTCTACATCCCTACCTTCTCTAACCTATCCCTCTATCGCTCATAACTCTCCATCCCCACCTTCTCTACCACTATAGCTCATAACTCTACATCCACACCTTCTCTACCCCTATCTCCCCATAACCCTAACCCTAACTCTACAGCCCCCCCTTCTCTAACCTACCCCCCTATAGCTCATAACTCTGCATCCCCACCTTCTCTACCCTTATAGCTCATAACTCTACACCCCCACCTTCTCTACCCCTATAGCTCATACCTCTACATCCCCCCCTTCTCTACCCCTATCCCCCCATAACCCTAACCCTAACTCTATATCCCCTCCATCTCTAACCTATCCCCCTATAGCTCATAACTCTACATCCCCACCTTCTCTACCCCTATAGCTCATACCTCTACATCCCCACCTTCTCTACCCTTATAGCTCATAACTCTACATCCGAACCTTCTTTAACCTATCCCCCTATAGCTCATTACTCTACATCCCCACCTTCTCTCCCCCTATCCCCCCATATCCCTAACCCTAACTCTATATCCCCTCCATCTCTAACCACATCCCCACCTTCTCTAACCTATCCTCCTATAGCTCATAACTTTACATCCCACCCTTCTCTAACCTATCCTCCTATAGTTCATAACTCTACATCCACCCCTTCTCTAGCCTATCCCCTCATAGCCCATAACTCTACATCCCCACCTTCTGTAACCTATCTCCCTATAGCTCATAACTCTACATCCCAACCTTCTTTAACCTATCCCCCTATAGCTCATAACTCTACATCCCCACCTTCTCTACCCCTATAGCTCATAACTCTACATCCCCTCCTTCTCTAACCTATCCCCCTATAGCTCATAACTCTACATCCCCACTTTTTGATGGCTATTACACATCTATTCAATTATATATTAACTTCCCAAATGATACCTTATATATTGCAATCATACCTGTATCCTTTCTGTATCTCAAACATTTTCTCAGGTATTTGATGATTGCTTTCACATATATGCATCCCTTCTACATCCAATCCACCTCCACCAGATACTCTTTTGATGGCTATTGTATACCCCAATATATAATAAACCTCCACCCAGGATACCTTTTGATGGCTATTGTATCCCCCTTTGTATAATAAACCTCCACCCAGATTACACATCTATTCAATTATATATTAACTTCCCAAATGATACCTTATATATTGCAATCATACCTGTATCCTTTCTGTATCTCAAACATTTTCTCAGGTATTTGATGATTGCTTTCACATATATGCATCCCTTCTACATCCAATCCTCCTCCGCCAGATACTCTTTTGATGGCTATTGTATACCCCTATATATAATAAACCTGCACCCAGGATACCTTTTGATGCTATTTCATGCCCCTATATATAATAAACCTCCACCAAGGATACCTTTTGATGGTTATTTCATACCCCTATATAAACTTCCATCCAGGATACCTTTTGATTGCTATTTCATACCCCTATATAAACTTCCATCCAGGATACCTTTTGATGCTATTTCATGCCCCTATATATAATAAACTTCCATCCAGGATACCTTTTGATGGCTATTTCATGCCCCTTTATATAATAAACCTCCACCCAGGATACCTTTTGATGGCTATGTTATACCCCTATATATAATAAACTTCCATCCAGGATACCTTTTGATGCTATTTCATGCCACTATATATAATAAACCTCCATCCAGGATACCTTTTGATGGCTATGTTATACCCCGATATATAATAAACCTCCACCCAGGATACCTTTTGATGCTATTTCATGCCCCTATATATAATAAACATCCATCCAGGATACCTTTTGATGCTATTTCATGCCCCTATATATAACAAACCTCCATCCAGGATACCTTTGGATGGCTATTGTATACCCCTATATATAATAAAACTCCACCCAGGATACCTTTTGATGGCTATTGTATACCCCTATATATAATAAACCTCCACCCAGGATCCCTTTTGATGCTATTTCATGCCCCTATATATAACAAACCTCCATCCAGGATACCTTTGGATGGCTAATGTATACCCCTATATATAATAAACCTCCACCCAGGATCCCTTTTGATGCTATTTCATGCCCCTATATATAACAAACCTCCATCCAGGATACCTTTGGATGGCTATTGTATGCCCCTATATATAATAAACCTCCACCCAGGATACCTTTTGATGGCTATTGTATACCCCTTTGTATAATAAACCTCCATCCAGGATACCTTTTGATGCTATTTCATGCCCCTATATATAATAAACCTCCACCCAGGATACCTTTTGATGGCTATTGTATACCCCTTTGTATAATAAACCTCCACCCAGGATACCTTTTGATGGCTATTTCATGCCCCTATATATAATTAACCTCCATCCAGGATACCTTTTGATGGCTATTTCATGCCCCTTTGTATAATAAACCTCCAACCAGGATAACTTTTGATGGCTATTTCATATGTATCCCTCGTATTTTACATTTGTAAACTTACTTTATGACACTTTATTGACCTGCTCCAGCACTACTGGCTAGTTATCAATATTACAGAGATAATACCTGATCAGGTGTAATTAATCATATTGACACCTATATACATACATTGTAGGTACCCCTAAAGCACTTATGGCCAGGTAACTTGCAGTCTCAGCTGATAAAATCTTTTCTGTCCAAATTCACTAAGATAAAGAATACCTTTATAGGGATTTATAGAGGAGGAAAAGGGGGGAAGTTTTCTGATGACTGCACAGGTATCATCACCAATGACAGATAAGAATAGCACAGAACCTAAAAAAAATGAGACCATAAGACTTAAAGAGTTGTCTCCCTTAAAAAGTGGGGAAAAACTGCTTCCTTAAAAAGTGGTAAAAATTAATTTCTAATACCATAGGGAAGAGATTGTTTTATAAAAATAGTACCTCTCCAAACAGGTAGAAAAAATGGACAATTAATGTGCCTTTGTAGCAAAATTTTATTTTAATGTTATTTGAACTTTTCAAACAAATGGATTTAAGTTTAACCAACTAAAAATCCTGATGAGTTTATTGGACTTACTCGCAGTTCTGCAGGAGGAGTAGACTTCCCAGCTCCCCTCTGGTCAAACAGGATAATTCTGTAAGTCTCAGGGTCAAAATACCGTCGGTCACGGCCACTAGTACCCCCTCCTGGGCCTCCATGACTATTTAAACATAAAATAGAAACATTAGGACTGTGCATGCTTATTAAAACATCCAAATGCTGGAAAACAGAAAACTAAAAACTAAGGACTGTAAGAAATAATTTGATCAGCTTGTCCAGTTGTATGGGAGCAAATTAAATCTAAAACAAGAGGCCCAGAGGGCCTGTTTTGCTCACCTGGATAATAAAGAAATCATAGGAAAATATTCTTATTACATAAAATACCTCCAATGATTCAGAAGAAGGATTCTAAAGATGTCAACCTCAAACTCCCCTATTGAACCCCACAACTCTGCAAAGACAGGGGCCACACCCTCCATTTATACATTTTTTTCGCTTTTTCCTCTTCATCCAAGGATGCTCCAGGTCAAATGTGGATGAAATACCTCAAATGGTATAGAAGAAAAAGGATTTTGAAGACTTTAACCACAAATTCCCCTATTGGGCCCCACATCTCTGCACCCAGAAGGACTATGCCCTCCATTTATATAAAATGTATTTCCCTTTGCCAAAGGATACTCCAGGTTAAATGTGGATAAAATCCCTCCATAAGTACAGTCCCTCCATAAGTACAGAAGGCGAAAGATTTTAATGATTTTAACCTCAAATTCCCCTTTTGTGCCCTGTCACTCTGCATCCAGAGGCTAGGGGCCACAGTGCTGATGGGCCACAACTACAGTGCTGATGGGCCACAACTAATGTTCATACAAAATAAAGTCGCCTTTGCCCAAGGATGCTCCAGGCCAAATTTGGATTAGGTCCCTTCAATGGTACAGAAGGAGAAGGATTTTAAAGATTTAAACCTTAAAATCCCCTTTTGAGCCCTGCCCCTCTGCACCAAAAGGGGCAACACCAACCCTTTATACAAAACTAAGTCATCTTGGCCCAAGGCTGCTCAAGACCAAATTAGGATTAATTCACGTTATCCCTATGGCAGGAGAAGAATGTCAAAGATTTTACCTCTATTTACCCTACTGGACCCAGCCCATCTGCCCCCAGCTGGTCCAAACTCATCGTTTATACAAAATTAAGTCCCCTTGGCACAAGGATGCTCCAGACCAAATTGGGATGAAATCCCTTAATCCCTATGGTAGAAGAAGGATTCTAAAGGTTTTACCTCTATTTCCCCTATTTGTACCCACCCCTCTGCCCCCAGGGGGACCACACCCACCATTTACACAAAATTTAGTCCCCTTGGGCCAAGGATGTTCTAGACTAAATTTAGATAAAATCCCTTTGTAGAGGATGGATTTTAAAGGTTTTACCTCTATTCCCCAATTCAGCCCAGTCCCTCTGTCCCCAGGAGGGCCACAGACACCGTTTTTACAAAATAAAATGCCCTTGACCTAAGGGTGCTTCAGACCAAATTTAATTTAAATCTACTGGGCCGTTCAGGACTAGTAGTGTTTAAAAGGAAAAGTTGATGGACGGACCACAGACGCCGCACCATGGCATAAGCTCACAGGTCCTTCAGACCGGGTGAGCTAATAAAATGTGTGTCAATTTAAAACTTGGGTAAATGGTAGTTTTTATGTAATATGCAACAGGATAATGTATACATGAATATATTATCAATAAGAAAAATATATATCAATAATTATTACACTACAACCCCCAGCAATTTTAAATTAAAAATTAAAGGAATGATTTCTATTTTTGATTTAAATGTTTTACCAAAAATTAGCCTTTTTTTTAAGTGATTATAAGATAAATGAGTGCTATTATTCTGTAGCATTATATAAACAATCTGTACTCACTTTGCTATGTAATTGAAATGTATTAAGATGTTGACCTCTTGTAACACACAACATGTGTCACGAGTGTAAAAATAAATCTTGAAATCTTGGTAAGGAATTTACTTGCCTATAATGGATCAACCCAGTGGGGGTGGGCAGTCTCAAAGGTGTGCATGCCTCACCTTTTTAGCCACCAATGGGTTTTTCTCATGTTTAAAACATCAATATTTTCACTGAATGTTTTTAGATATTTTGCAGTGCTCCACTCACCATTGCCCATTTCCATTAAGTAACCCTACATTACAATCACAAAATGAAAATGTCTACCTTGATTGTTCTGCTAGGCAATAACATTTAGTTTCTCCGCCACTGGCATTATAGTTTGAGAAAACAATGATTAATTATTCTAGATTTAATTTTGGAAACACATATATATATATATATATACACATATGATAAATTATTCAATGATACAGAATGGTGTTTTCTTTATAACTTTGATTGTGTTTATTTTGTATCAATATACAGTTGATATTTGGAGAAACTCAATTCTGTTTAATAATCTAAATTGTACATACAGTACATATATAGGTAGAAAATTACAAGAAAAATATCATTGCTATGCTCGTCTCTGCTTTTCAAAATCATGGAAACTTAAATTTGTTCTAATTTTGCTGCTACAAGCTAAATTCAAAGGAAACAAATAGAGAATCCTAAAAATTTAGATTTAATACCATATGCCTAGAGATTCTAGATTCCATTGATCTGCCCATTGTCTTCTTTATTTTGTACTAAAACATGTTGGCATTCAGATTTCAACCCTATTTATTTGTCCTAAGACGATTCTGAATCAGAACAAGAGGCCCAATGGGCCTGCATCGCTCACCTGGTATTAATCTCACACTTGTAATCTTAAAAGTGGACTTAAGTACAGCTACAGTTGAATGTCGAACAAGGACATTATAATATTAGGTTGAACAGAGTTTATAGTCTTCCAATACAGCATGCTTCTGGAAAAATATCATTACCCTGGACCTTTTGGTTATACAGAACAAATCATTTAAAGATTTAAACATATATTGGCCACTGTGACCTTTAATATGGGCGAGGTCATTCACTTGGTTGTCCTTCATCCCAGCATGTTAATGGCCAAATATCATCACCCTTGGCCTTTTGCTTATTAAGAAGAAGTCATTCAATGGTTTTAAACATATTTGACCCCTGTGACCTAAAAATATAGATGTCAAGGTAATTCATTTGAACTTGGTAGTCCTTCATCCCAGCATGTTACTGGCATTATCCTAGGCCTCTTGGTTATTCAGAAGAAGTTGTTTAAAGGTTTAGAACATATTTGACCCTGTGACCTTGGATATAAGTCAAGGTCATTCATTTGAAAAATCCTGGCAGTCCTTCATCCCAGCATTATAATTACTGGCCAAATATTATCACCCTAAGCCTCTTGTTTTTTCAGAAGAAGTTGTTTAAAAGATATTAACATATTTGACCCCTGTGAGCTTGAATATAAGGCAAGTTCATTTATTTGAACAAACTCGAAAGAAGTTGTTTAAAGTAAAAAGTTGATGCCCTTTGGGCCAGGTGAGCTAAAAATGAAAATGACATGTATGAATGGCACATTTTTTTTACTGAAATGGACCCCCCGGGCCCGGGTTAAGGGAAATAATACATAAAGTTTTATTCAATTATAGCCTTTGGCTGAGGTCCTCGGTTAATATATTTTTTTCTCGGGTCGATAAATCCACAAAAGGCCAAAGGTTACAATTGATGTATTATTTTACAAAACAGTAATGTAAGCAATCTGAAGAAAGGAAAAAACAACAAAAAAGTGGGATGGTGCTATGTTTGGAGACACGTCATAATTCTATTTTTCAAAAGACCCAGTCCTTTAATAAAAGTCATGCGCTCTGAGTTAATATCGGTTTTTATCGTTGGACATGTGATGCACTCCTGACCAAATTATCATTTGTCAGGAATAACATGAGAAAATAATAATATATTTTATAGAATAATAAATTTAGAAATCTGAAAGAACCCATTTTTTGCAAGAACTCTCTGTGTTCTTATTTTATATTTATTCCCCAATTCAGTAATAAAATTGTCTTTATTATCTATATGAGCTGTTGTGCTCAACCTGTGTAATGTTGACTGCAAAAGAGAAAGTAGAAAAATATCGAGTTGCGTCCCTTTAATAAAAAGCCAGAAACTAAAAATAAACTCACACAAATAATACTGGATTACCGTCCTTTTTCGCACTTTGTTCGTAATAAATGTCATGAATTTCCGACACCTTAAGTTTCCCTGAATCAAATGGTTCGATCTCCGGAAACAAATCCCTCATTGACGACATCTTATTAGCGATGATGACTTGTCTTCTTTGATCACAAATGCGGGGGCGGCCGGTCCAAGGTTTACTTCCGATTCGGAGATTCGTGAAAGTTCGGATCACGTCAGACTTAACGATATATCGAGAATTGGGATTAACACGAAGAAATACTCTCAATTTAGAAGCAAACATCGAGCTGTCACAGATGATGTGCTCAAGATGCGTTTTGTATTAATAATATCAGCCCTGGACATATCGATAGAACCCGGTACAGCCCGGTCATTGGACCGTCAAGTTAGACAACTCGTCTGAACTTCGAGGAAAATTTGCTTCATTTGTTTGAACTCTTAAATCAACTCAAGGAAGTACGTAGGCGGCTGATTCATAATTGCGAGAGTCGAGTCTGTGTTTAATGCCGGTGCAAATTAAAGCTTCGGGTCATCCGTTACAGTGCGAGCCGTCAGGCACGTAGCTAGCCCCTTTACCATGTGTAAGCCCGACATAGGGTTGCCGAAGGCAGCCGCCCCCG